GTGACCGTCTCGGTGGTGCACTGCTCTTGGGCGGGAGCCGCCTCAGAGGTGGGCGACAGCGGCTCCTTCGGCACAACGGGCGCTAGCCCAACGGGAGCCGCCGGCGCTGGCCCAGCGGGAGCCGCCGGCGCTGGCCCAGCGGGAGCCGCTGGTCCCGCGGTGTCCCTTCGCGGCACGCGGCCGCCGTGCCGGCTTCGACTGCTGCCGCTGCTCCTGGCTCTTCGCCTGGTGCGCCTGCGGCTGCAGCTGCGGCTGCTGCTGCTCCGGCTGCTGCTGCTGCGGCGACGCCTGTGGCGCCCTCGGCGGCGCGAGCCTCTCCGCCAGCGGATCTCGCCCGCCCTTATCGTCACGTGTATGGGAGTGTTTCCCATTGGCTGCGGGCCCGTGGCTGCAGCATGTGCATGCAAGTGCAAGCGCAGCGCATGACATGGCCGCGCGGCCGCCGTGGGCCGCAGCGACATCCACACACAAAAAAAAAGAAGAAGCCACGAACGCGTCCACCGCGCGGCCGTGGCCGCGGCGGTGTTAGCTAGGTATGTTTCCTTAACTACTTCGACCGCTGTTTGTTTTTGGTTCTTGCTTGCTTTGCGAACTTATTTCTTTCTGTGCTTGCTTCTGACTTTCTTTGTGACCTTGACTGCTTCTGTACTGTGTATGCTGCGTTGGCTTTAGTTTGCGCGACTGCTTGCTTCGTGCTGTGTAGTTTTCTTCTCCACGGTGCACACGCTGCAAGTGACATCCGCGCGGAGGTGGCCGCGGCGGACAAGCGCGCTTCTTTTTTTCTTGGCGATGGCTATACGGCGCGTGCTCTGTGAGACGACACCCCCGAGGCCGCCATGTGGAAGCCATGAGCTGCAGACTGCGACACTGCGCACATAGTGACGCGCCTATATGGCGCGCACCGCCCCCCTCCCCCCATACGCCGCTATATGGGCATGTTTTTTTTTGCGTAAGTCACAGTGTGGTGGCCCATCGGCTGCCTTGAGTGGACGTCAAAAAAACACACCCATATGCGTTTGCGGCAGCCCAAGGTGCGGCTCCCCGCCGCCATAACCCGATCAGTGACATCGTCTCATGCAGTTATAACTAACTGTCATGCGAGCAAGCTGTTTGCGTTGTTGCGCTGGCTGAGTCTGATCGGGAGCGGCAGCGACGAGAGCCGGCACCAGTCCCCACCTAGTAGCCCCTCAGCCTCCAGCACGAAGGGGTGCATCCCAGCGCGTAGCGGCACCGTCCGCATCCCGCCTGGAACTTGTGCCGGAGCGTCTTGGGCGGAGTCTTGCTGTACTTCACCCGGACCGGCCGCCGCGCAGCGGGCTTCGCCTTAGGCTTTGCCTGGGCCTTCGCCACGGAGACGCTGCACGGCGTTGACGACGTCGTCAGTGTTCTCCTCAGGCGCCTCCTTGGGTTCCTGCTGCTGCGGCAGCGGCTGCTGCTGCTGCGCCTGCGGGCGAGCCGCCTCTTGAGGCTCAGGAGCCGAGGGAAGCCCAGGCGCCGGGAGCGCCAGCTGCGGGCTGGCCTGCTGCTGCACGACCTCTCGGTCAGCACTGCCGCTGCTGCCACCGAACAGGTCGCCCAGCTGCTGCGCAAGCGCGCCAGCCGACCTCCTCTCCGTGAACTGCAAGTTGCAGGGCTGCGGGCCGCCTTGCATCCCTCGCAGCGCTTGCTGCAGAAGCTGCACAGCCATACTGGCCACGTTGCCTTGCTGCGCGCTCACCGGCAAGGTCGGAGAGAAGGCGCACCGCACACTTGAGTGGCTCTTGCGCAAGGGGACGCGTGTTGCTAAAGCACTCACGGCCGTCGCCCATGCCTCCGTCACGGTGTGGCCCTGCAAGCCAGCTGCTTCCAGAACGGCCGCGTCCAGGTCCGCTGGAGCATCCGGCAGCCTGGTCAGCAGCTGAGGCAGCTGCACAGCGGCTGCGAGCGCCCTTCCAGCGCGTCTTCATGTGGACGCACATGTTGTGGGCAGCCTGCGGATCCAGCTCGGTCATGCCTGCGCGGACACGTATTGGGGACTGGGGACATGTTGTGTGCATGGCTTGCAAGAAAAAAAAAGCCTGAAGAACTTTGTAAGCACCCAGATAACTTTGACAAGCAAGAGCCTGGCACGTACATGAGCAGCGCGGTCATGGTTCCCATAGTTTTCTGCGAGGGCAGTCGCAAGCCCAGCCGCAGAGACAGCTGCAGCACGTAGTTCACCTTGTGCGCGGGCGGGACGTGCGCAGCCAGCCGGTCCGGGGCCGCGTAGTTGGCCAAGGCCGTGTAGTCCTGGTACACCTGCTGCTGCATGACTGCAGCGAGCTTGAGCTGGAGCGTCCGCGCTGTCATGCATGTGTCACGCATGTCTTGCGCGGGTGCCGCGCGGGCTCACGCCCGCGGCGGCATGCGCAGAGGCGAGACAACAGCGACTCGGCTTCCCTCTTGCATGCTGCGGAGTATGCTCGAAAAGAAGCTAAGTCTGCTAAGAGTATTTGCCCCGAAAACAGATCCCAAAAGCTAACCCCGCTAAACCTTATAAGGGTTGCGACCATGTTTGCTAAGTGTTTAGCTTGGGGTTTACAACGGGGGTTATAAAGCGTGTGATATCTCCTATAATCCCTAGATAGATTCTGGTAAGCCTTAGAAGCGGCTTATAAACCTTATATAGGTTTAACCAATTTATCTCGTTTGCGCTGGAGCTTGGCAGACTTATAACCCAACTTAGCCGAGATACTAAACGTTTATAACCGGGTTAACATTAGCCAGCCGGCTAAGTAGTATGCGGATTGCAACTGTATCTATAGCAAAACTGGGCGACGCCAGCTTGGTACAATTGACGGGGCCCGACTGAGTCGGGCCCCGATCGGGGCGCGATGGCGCAATCGGGGCCGATCGGGCCCAAACGGTGCAATCGGGCGGGCCCTGACAGTGCAATCGGTAAACCTCGCAAACCGCAACTTTCGTGGAGCTCAGCGTGAAACTTTGCTGGAACCTTTCCTCAGGGCTGCCCCATAGCTTTTGCAGAATTTGGTGGAAACCTTCTGACTTCATAGCCCTCGCAGCCTCGTGGAATTCTTGGAACCCAAAGCCCACCAAGCAGCAATGCCAAGCATTTACTTTACTCTGCTGCACCGTGAGTTCCGCAGCGACGTGATCTGATTTGCCACAAAGCCAACATTTTCCTGAGCAAGTGAGCAAGTCACAAAACAGTGAAAGTGTGCTAAAAACCATTGATTTCGGTTTTGCTTGGTGGAGCATTGTGGAGCCTTGTGGAACCCGTGTGGAATTATTGCAGAGCTTTGTGGAACCCTGTGAAACCTCAGGGCCCACAGCCCTCGCAGAATCTTGTGGAACCCTGAAACCCTCATACAACCTTACCTCAAACCACCCCGGACCGCCCCGCAGCCCTCGCAGAACCTCGTGGGACCCTGCTAGAACCGTGCTGGAATGGAACCTCACCTTGCAAAACCTGGTGGAATTCTGGTGGAATTCTGGTGGAATTCTCATGGAACATTACCTCAAACCAGCCCGGACCGCTGGTGGAACCCTGGTGAACCCTGGTGGAACCCTCGAAGAAATTGGTGGAACCCTGGTGGAACCCTCGTCCGGAGCACGACGGGCTGGTGGAACCCTGGAGGAAACCTGGTGGAACCCTCGTGGAACCTTACCTCAAACCACCTCGGACCACCCTGCAGCCCACGCAGAACCTGGTGAAACCCTGGCAGAATTCTGGTGGAAATCTGGTGGAACCCTCGTGGAACCTTCCTCAAACCAGACCCCAGCCCTCGAATTACCTCAAACCACCCCGGACCACCCTGCAGCCCTGGTGCAACCCTCGTGGAACCTTACCTCAAACCACCCAGACCACCCCGCAGCCTGGAACCCTGGTGGAACCCTGGCGGAACCCATGTGAAACCTTCCTCAAACCCGCAGCCCACCACTTCAGACCACCCCGCCCTTGCAGAACCTGACCCTGGTGGAACCCTGGTGAACCTCTGGTGGAACCCTGGTGGAACCTTGGCTCAGGGTCGCCCCGAACCACCCCGGAGCCTATCTGGGCTGAGACCCCAAAGCTTTCAGCTGTTGGGGAAAAACAGTATCAGACAAATACCAACTGATTTCAGAGTGGTCCTTGTAGCCAAGTTTGGATGTATCCTTTGAGGAAGCCTGTACAAGTGGCTACCTGTTGGCCCCTGAAGTTTCAACAGATTTGGGCAGGTTAAAAGGTGATGGGCCCGTGCGGGCGCGTCCGTTTTTTGACGATGTTCAATGTGATATTGTAGGGAAGCCTCAGAACGACTTGCTCGACCTGTTGGCCCCTTTTGCGACCGGTTTCGGCCAATGTGAATTCGTCCTTTCTTGGATCATACCCCTTCTGTCGTGATCTTCCAGCGGCAGCAGGAGAAGGGGTCCCCAACTTTGAGACATACCCATTCGACGTTGTTTCCAAATCATGAAAGGTGTTCCTTTGATTTCTCTTCAAGGCACCCCCCCCACCCAAAAAAAAAGTTTCGTCACAAAAGACCACGCTGAGACGGAGCAAAGGACGGCCGGCGTTGGCTTGGCAATTATTGCGATGGTCAGTACAGGTTTGCCATTGGGAGGAAACACGGGCTGAAAAAGGGGGCCTTGGCTGTCCGAAACGCGGGACATGCGAGTCGCTGGGATCTGGGGCAAGCCTGGCAAATAATCTCCAACTCAGAAGTCTTATTCTTGGAAGGCCGTTTGCAAATAAGACAAAAGCCAACAACGCTTACGGGGCTAGGTTTCCATAAAGGATCCTTTGCTTTTCCAAAAACAAGCGATGAATATCTTGAACAGTACAGCCTACGCCGATGTTCGGGCAGTTGGCAGTGGTTTGCGGGGAGCGTGCAAACTAGGTGCGCGCACAGTGGGTATACTGTGCATATGTGTGCTTGGAATTGTTGTGTGTTTGACAAGTCAAGCCTCCGATTTTGTTGTGAAGCAAGCTCCTTCTTTCAGCTCAGCCTCAGCCATCAGCCATGCGTCAACAATCCAAGGTCGGCAGCCATCGTGAAAGATCAGAAGGACACGCAAGAGCGCAAGCCTGAGAGAACTGAAGACTCCTTTTTAGGGAGGGTATTGTATGGGATAGCAACTTGTTGGTGCTTGTTTTGGAGGGACACCAAAGGGAGACCACTCATGACCACTCATTTTAGAGACTCGCCCAATTTGAAGACGCGCATGAATCCATGGCTCAAGCCCAGCTCGAGTTAGTGCTTGTGAAAGCAAGGGGATATGGGCTGAACAAGTCAGGCTGACTCAGCGCACCATGCGCACCATGCGCACCTGACATCTTAACCTCACGGGTTGGGCTCCGGAAGCCTGGGAAAGGGAGCCAAAGGGACGGGTGGCAGAAACCCCCCCGACCGAAACGATGTCCACAGGGTCCCAGTTGCAATGTCACACCTGTGACAAACCGCTTTTTTTTTTGAGACATATGTTGTATGTGTCTTTCAATGCGGGACTCCAGAGGGAGGCAGGTGTCCTGTGGGTTTCTCCCAAAACACCCACAAGCCCATAGGTCACGGGCGCCAATTTCTGCTCTGAGGTTGCTGACCCGGGCCCTGGACGTCCTTGGTGGCGTCTATGGCGCCAGCTTGGTGCAGAAGGACTCGGCTGGGGGGGTTGTTGGGCACGGGGGTTCCTGCGCTTTGCGGTGTCCCTTGGGTTGATATCAGAAGGGAAGCCGGAGATCTCGCCGTGTCTGAGACAAGCCCATCTTTCCCTTTAGAGGTTAAACCGAGGTTGACAAAGCCTGGTTGCCTCAAGGGTCCGTAAAGTTTCCCTGTTAGCCGGAATTCAAACACCTTTTGGGCCCATTTTAAGTCAGCTTCCTGTAGGTGGGGTGAGATTTCAGGGGGAAATAAGGGGAGCCCTGTTCAGGGTGCCGGTGGAATGAGCGTGTTGCTAAGTTGTTAGTCGTTTGGTTCAGTTCATTCTGCGTCAGGGCTGCAAACACAAACTGTGCTGTTGTGCTTACCTACCAGGGGATGACACGCTATGCAGCGACTACAAGAATACGTGGCTCCTCTCCTTTAACACAAACCTCAGCAGAGGCGTGTATGTATGGGCCTTCAAAGTTTCCTCAAAACAGACCGCCACGCATACCTTGGTTGAAGTTCCCACTGTATCTTTCCACGATTGGCACATGTCTTGGGAGGTGAAGGTATTCTCCTTCGGTGTGAACGCTAAACCCATTCAATGAGGGTGGCGCACTTTTCTCAAGAAAGGGGTCAACAGGCAAGCCCCTGCCGAACAACTTTGTACTCCGAGGGTAAGTCGCCTGCCACATAACCATGCCTATGCGACTTTTGTATAATGTATATTGTTCGGTGACAGTCACGAGTGAAGGAAGAGGCCGTTTCCCTGGGTCTTTTGCATATGCGGCAATGATTGCATCCCCAAGGGTATCGACATGATGCATGTCGCTTCATTTTGGTTCCGAGGTCTTGAGATGCTTCACATCATCACGCTCACCCCCCTCCCCCAAACACATGCTTGGACAAACATAATTGCTCCACCAGTTTTACAGAACTGGGCCCAAATTGCTAGAACATCTACCTTGCCATCCACTAGCATGGAGCGTGATTGGCTGAAACCATTGTCCTCCGACAGCAAGCCTTGGTGCCTTGGTGGGTTCCGTGTGAGCCGATGTCAGTGCACGGGAGTCGAACTAGCTTGTGTCATTGTCCCAAGTCAAGCATGACTGGCGCGCTGCAACTGGGGGGCAGGTTGCCAAACATAGGGACCCCCTCTTCGACCAAACAACCACGGCCGATCCCGTCACCAACCGAGTCTCAAAGGCCTTCCGCGGTCTGGTCCGGGCCTTGAACTCGTATCAGCTCCAGTTTCACTTCCGGTGATGGAGCTTCTCTGTGTGGGTTGGTGCTGCTTGTTGGAAATATGAACGGAATTCCTTCAGTTTCGCCCGGGCCCACCAGTTTCACCCTGCCAGGCAGAGCTGGCTCATTTCTTGGCAGGTCTTCGCTGTAACCTTAGCCCCTTGATTAGACCTTTTGGAAACAAGTCATTTTCCCCCAAATAATTTAAACCTACAAAGGTGATGGATCTTTTGCTCAGATAGGAAGAGCAACGGAGAGATGAGGGGTTAAAATCCCGACAAGCAGATTGTAACCTCGACATTGGATGTGGTTCAACGAAGATTTTGTCCGGATGTTTTTTTCCCTCGTGGCAGGACGAACCCAAGACCTTCGGCAGCTACCAGAAGAGCGAAGGGGCCAACGGTGTGCAGCTGCTGCTGCAGCAGATCATCGGAGATGCCAAGGTGATGCAGACCAAAGCAGAGGCCTATCGGTGTTGTTGTTTTGTTTTTCTCATTTTTTTGCTATGGGGGGGGATTGGGGGGGGATTGGGAGGGATTGGGGGAGATTGGGGATTGGGGGATTTGGTCCAGAGAGGGATGTGTCTCCTTTTCTGGGGTTGTCGCCAAAAATCCTTGAGTCCCTCATAGTCCCTCAGTGAGAGAACCAGGGCTTGCCTTTCAATTCCACGAGGCAAAGGGGTTGGGATTTTAGCGGAGAGTTTGGATCTTGTCGACCTCAGATTGTTTTGTGTGTTCCCCCGCCCAGAACAAAACAAAAGAGGCCCGAGTTCCCTCAACGGGATCCAGTGCAGTGAAGCCACCCCATGGGATCCTCTTTCCGACTATTCTAGTGTTACAAGTTGGAACCACCTGAAAAGCAGGCTTAGTGTGGAATCAGACAAGCACGGAAGCCACCAAGCAGCCCTTTAAAGGGGAAGTACTGTCCTCTTCCCAAAGGATTCCACTCGTTGTGTCCGCTTTTTGTGGGGCGGGTCTGCCCTTAAAATCAAGCGGCATTCCCATCTCGCTTGCAGACTAGCAGAGGAACCTGCGTTTGAGGGACCCCTTGTTTGGGCAACCCATGTTCAAACTGGACTTCGCAAACCCACGCGAAATTGCCGCAGCTTCCCTTCCCAAGACTTGCTAGTTCTCAGCAAACAATCAACAATGATTTGGGGAATGAATCGGAAGGGGATCCCCTAGGAAACCGCCATAATTACCATGGTTGTTGTTGGGAAGCATTTCACATGTTTGCTTATTGTGGTTTAGTGGGAAATCCCACTTAACTGCTAACAGTTTTTTTTTGCTCCCCTTCCAACAACCAAGATACTGGCCGGGGTCATTCCAACTCCTTCCGTGAGGCGGACTTGGAAGCGGCGGTGAAGGACTTTGAGCAGTTCAAGACCGACGCGCTGGCCGCCGTCGCCGCCAAGGAGCCCTGGGCGCCCTTGGGATGTGGTTGGTGTCACCTTGGTGGGTCGTTGAGGCGACAAATTTCGGAATCCTCCGAAAAAGATGTGGGCTTAAACAGAAAAGCCAAAGAGGGGCGGTGTTTTTCTTCTTGTTGGAAACCAAATGGGAATCCCAGAAAGGATTTGGTGTTAAAGCAGACTCCGGGGAAAGGGAATCTTTCCCTGGAGCAGCATATTTCACATGGGCAAATCGGGTATGGCTTGCACCGACTTGGGCGTCGAAGTCCCTTTTCCTTCCCTTTGAAACATACTTTGGCCTAAACACTTGTTTATTGCAACTGCTTTGTCGCACCTTTTGTTTTACCCCTAGAAAAGGGTAGCCTCTACTCCAAGTACTGTCGTTTTATGCATGATGTCAACCCCGACTAAACATGGAGGTATTTCTCATGGACAACTGGTTGTTTGATGAAACACCCTCCACTAAACGCGGGGTTTTATGAGGCGGTATTACGCTGAGGGGGGCACACACACAAAGGTGGAGGTGTGGGATCAAGGGATGAATCCCCACTTCCGTGATACAAGGGAATCTCCATTTTTTGGGGCGCTGATCTACAGATCACCTCGGCTTCTGATTGTTGCCAGGAGCAGAGTTTGGTGGATTTGGACGTGGAGAAGTCCCAGACGCAGAGCGATGCCTTGGGGGCCCATAAGGAGGCGAGGTGCGGAGCACCCGACGCGAAGGGAGAGAAGTCGCGTGCTCGGCCAATAGTTGGCTTTGTGGCATTTTGCCAAGGGATGTTCGGACTTTATTGGTTTTTGCCAACTAATGGGCTTTCCATAAAACCACCAAAAGTGGAACTTTTAGCAGGGGATCAGAAAGCAACCGAGTTTATACCTTCTGTGGGGGAGAGGGAGGGGAGGGGCATAGGGCCTAGGGCTTGTTTGGCCTCCCCCAGCCCCCATGATTGTAGCGAGCTCTGAAGGTAAGGCAAGCTCACTATGGTCCTTTAACTTCAGGATCCCCGACTGAAAGTTGCTTGGATGTCTTGTAAGAAGTACAGACGAACTCGCTGCTACATAGCCCGTTGCCGATTCTCCGAAAAGGAAACCAGGGATCGGGTGTGGTGAGCTTGCCACATGGTCGACGCATGAGTCAACCCGGGGATTACTCTGGGGGTGTTCCCCCCAATGCAAATTTGCCACTCAATGCGACACCCCGCCGATCAACCTCAAGGGGTTGCTGAAGGGGGTCCCACTAATTCTGTGTGCCGTTTGGTCAAAGGACTCCTTTTGTGATCTGGGATGATCACCAACTAGTAAGGTTTTTTCTTTCAGCCATGGTCAGGGGTCCCTTCAAAGCTGAGTTGCTTGGAGAGACCTGCAGCAACAAGCGTGTCCTACTCATCCAGGAATAGTGCCTTCCACATGGCTTCCAACCACCCAGACTTTCCTTGATCTTCCTTTTGGCCCCTGAAAAAGCTGTTGTTGTTCGGCCAATCCTCCGTTTTAATGCAGAAAGAACAAGGAATTCGACCCGCCAGCTGTTTCAGCGAGCTTGCCACCCGTCCATTCAACCACCACCAATGCACCCCGAATGGCTTGCCCCAAGCCAAATACGCGGGACCCGGCCAAACGACCATCCCTTGGGTGCTTTTCTTCCGTGGCTTTCGGATAGTTTTTGAATGCTGGATGATGCTGGGTGCTAAATAGCCCACAATGTATATATATTTTTGTGTGTTTTCCTCAACCGCAAACCCGAAGTGGGTCTGACACGCTCAAACTGGGTGGTTTCCAGTTGGTTTCCTTCAAACCGACGCCAAATGGTGTTTTTCAAAAGAACATCACCCTCGATTGGGATACGTCGAAATATTTTGGCCCCGGAACTGTGGCTCTCCTTTTGGCACCCCTGAAAAGGGTACGTACCCTCAACTAGGTCAAAAGGAAAAAAACTCGGGCACGCTTATTCTAACCTCTCAAATCTGGAGGACCTAGTCAAACAAACTTGGCTTCACGGCTTCCGGCCCATTCTCACAGGTCACTTCGTTGACCAAGGGCCTGGAGGCTCTCGGGGAGACCTTGGCGGCTCTCAAGGAGGCACCGCCGAAGCTGCGAGCTTCGAATGGGGAGGGCTTCAGTGTGTTTGACATGTTCTGAAGGTTCAAAATCTGAACCCCCTTCCAAAACGCAGAAGATTTGGAATTGTGAGAGTTTCTGGAGTTTCCTTTTCATTTGGAGGGTTCTCCGCCAATCGGACCCGGTGTTTTGTTGTTTCCTAGACCCTCCAGGCGGAATTTCAAAATCGGAGCCCCTGGGGACACTCCGGCTTTGCCAGCGAGTTGTTCAGCAGGAGTGCGACTTCCTGATCAGCAAGTTCGAGTCCCGGCAGGAGGCTCGAGAGCAGGCGGGGAACCCCGCGCGGAGTGCTGTGGGAAAAACCACCCATGTATGCTTTGTAGCTTTCAAAGGAAACCATCACTTGTGTTTCCCTGATGCTTCCAGACCCCCTGTTTAGTTAGAAGAGGCTAAGTTCATGTTTTCACACATGATTCACCCATGATCATGAGACCCCATTGCTAATCATTTAGGCTCTACTGCGGCTTTCTATCCTTTCGGAATCCAGACATCTACCCTCCCCACTAAATGGGAGCTGACTGGGAGGGCCTGATTTGTGGCGGTCAGATCTGGCAGAGGATTTGTCCCGCTTATGTGAAATTTGGTCAATCCGGTTGTCTATATAGTTGCATGGGCTCAGGACAATTTGATCCACAAAAAAGGGGGCTCCCCGTGTGGCTCATATACCCTCAATAGGCAAAGGGAGGCCAACCAAAAAATGGGTAGACAAGGGTCCTTGATGTGTTTTGCCCGCTTCACATGGCATACGCAATTGGTGGTAGCAGGGCAACCATCAACAAGGGGTATCGTGTCGAAAAAACAACTGACCACACCTTGCTAGTCTTCTGTCAAGTAGATTGAAACACACACACACACACAAAACCAATTATTGCCCGTTCTAGCCAGCAAAGTGGGAACAGCTAGGATGCGGGTGTTTTGCTAGCCATTTAAGTACTACCACACTACCCTGCTTCCCCACCCCTGATTTCTTTGCATCCCTGCTAATTTGTTTCCCCAACTTACCCGTGTGCGCTTGGATCGACCAGACTCTTGGCATCTGAGAACTGGCCACGTCGCCCTGAGGGGTCGGCTTCCATTCAGCTTCCATGTCAGTTCTAACCCCGGATAATTTAAATTAACTTCCGGGTGATTAATGGGGGGGGGTCCCGTTTTGGTGGAATCCTTTGCTTTTGTGGGTGGCTGCCCCCCTATTTAGTAGGATGGGAGTATGAATCCGGCTCTCCATTAGCAGGGATGATATAAAAGTCTTCTTGATGTTGAACATGGCATGCTTGCGGATGAGTTGATGGAATGGGGCGCGAAGCCAAATGAAGCTCTGCTTGTTTCTGTAATGCGGACTAGCCAGGCAACTCAGGAGAATTATTCTCTACAGGTTCTGATTGATGATCGCGCATGAATGGATTGGATGGCATCCAACACGGAATAGGTTCCATTGAAACCCGTCTTGGCAACAGGAACTGTATGATAACCCTTGTGCTTGAATTGGACTTGTTAAATTATTGGGCAATGGAATCGTAAAGCAGCGTTTCAAGTCATGATTTCTGTGTTGTCTGCGCGTTGAATGGCTACTCATACTGAGACTCATGAGCAGGGTTGAGCGGTCAAGGATGGTTGATGCTTTGCAAGCAGGAAAGCAAAGGAGGACGCTGAGTTTATCTTTGTATATCTTTGTGTTGTTTTCGCGTGTTTCGGCATGGCTGGTGTTTGCGGAACCCTAGGCCCTTAGATCTTTCAGTCTTTTTTCCACTGGATCCTCCAAGGGTCCATCGCCACACGAGGGCTAGGCCAACAGCAGCTTTGAACACGCGTGCAGCTCACCCAACAGGTTGGATCTGGGGGACCTGAACCAAACAAAACACAGCCTAAACCAACCCAGCCTAACGCAAAACCAACTTTAAACCTTTAGAACACCCTAAACCAACCCTAAACCGACCCTAAGCCAACTCCAAACCAAACCCGCCAACGACCAACCGGGGTTTCGGCACAGGAGATCGACGCGCTCAGCACCGCCAAGGCCATCTTGAGCACCTTGGCTCTGCCGAAACCACAGACGCTGCCGCACAAAGGTCATGTGGCTGTGGGTCAAAAAAAGGTACCCAAAATGGATCCCTGGCAAATGGAAACATGGACTCAAACCTGCGGTCCCCTGTTGCTTTAATTTTGACCCATACCTATGTGTGTGCGTGTGATGACGCTGGGTTTATCCTTAGTTTCAAGGGCGATAGAAATGACAAGTATATCACCGAGGCATGTCTCAAGGTAAATATCTAGTCAGGAGTTGACATCATCCCTAGAAATGGGCGGGTAGCCTTACTGCAAAACAGACCTTGATTACTTTGTGGTTTCCCCTGGGTTCATGTGAAGTCACACCCAGCCTTGCTGGCTTCCGTCAGGGAATGACCGAAAGCCCTCTTATAAACCATCCCTGGCAGCTTCCTTGAAGGTTGATTCCCAAAGTTCCCCTTGATTCCCTACTGAGAACTGGCGCGTGTATTGGTTCATTTTAAATCACAAAGGGTCATTCGCAAAACCTGAAGGAAACTTTGGTCGCTTTTGCATCCTTTGCATTGAAAGCTGACCGAGGCGGCATGAAGGCGCTCTAAGGTGACCCGCGCTCGACCGGTGTCAGTGAGTTGGCGAGCAGGAAAATGCGTCCGACGCCGACGTCCGTGGAGATCTTGGGGTGATGTATGCTTACCTTTTAGGCCCAGTTGTGAACATGAGTTTCCGGGTAGTTCGTAGCACTAGACGATAGTATCTCAAATATGGTGTTTTGGTGGTTGCCTGTCGGTTTATTGTGTTTTTGTCAGCTCAGACCTCTTTGGTTTTCAACTGTAGGTTCCAGACAGCTTAACTCAGCTCAACTTTGTGAAATTTTCGGTTCTCTGGGGTGACAACCTCTTGAGTGTTCCTTCCTTTACCTTATTCAAAGCCGGGGGGGCTCCTATCATAGGAGACCTTTGAACCATTTTGAACCCTTGCAAATGGCATGGCAGGGAACATGGGGATCACCTGGCCCAACTGTGGCGACCTCGCAAAGCAGTTGTGTGTTGCCCTTGCTGTCTTGGGCAGTTGCAGGAACACACCGGGCAGCCATGTTCGTCCGCAGCAACAGCTTGGGTACATGTATTTTGTGACAGATTTTGTGTTTGTGGGGATGGTGCGGATAGGAACATCCAACTGCAAGTCAAATCCGCATGAAGCTCGCAGATGTGGTCTTTCAATTGTGTTCTCCATTTGAGCTCGTTTGTGACACGTCTTTTGTGGGGCAAGATGCTTCGGCGTGCCGTCCCTTGCTGTGCGCCACACGTGCGTGGCATGCTTGCCACTGATGCCTTGCCCTTTCGCCGTCGGATTTTTATGAGGCGGTTGGAGAGGCATACAAGAGAAGACAGACAAAGAATCGGCAATTTGAAGCATGGACTTTGGGCCTTTCACCAGGCTCCACGTTTCAGATTTGATCACTCAAGTCCGGCTACGAACATGGCACGCAACATGGAGAGAGGGATATTTGGTGGCCGAATACGCACGAGGGACAGTAAAACCCCTCTAGCCCTACCCAGAAATATTATTTCAGAGCCCTGAAGCCCATTGCATGAACCGTTCCCGAGTTGGGGTATGTCGTTTGCGACCGGAAAAGCGATCATGCAACACCTAGAGGCAAACTTAGTTCCCAGTGAGAGCATGTAAACAGTTGAAGCCTAGAAGCATAGGTCACCTATGGCTGTCAACCAATTTCTTTGCCAAGTGGACTTCACTTGACGTGATGAGCGATGAGTCGGAGCCGCTGGCCACTCCGTGCCGAAGTGTGGAGCGGCCGAAGGGCAGAAGCGCGCTTCGGCGCCAATCCATCAGGGAGATGCTTCGGCTTGTGGTGGGGACTCTTTTGTTTGTAGCCAGAAAGTGCCCAATTTTGAGGTTTTTGACGGAAATTCCAAAGGCGAGCAAGACCCATTTTGGGAGTTCCATGTTGCTTTGAGACAATCCAGCTGGTTTTCCCTTCAGGAGAGACCAAATCGGCCTCACTGCGCCCCCCAAAACGGTTCTAAAGGCACCCTTCGAACAGACCCGTTTCCCAGAAATACAACCTTTTTCTGCGGAGTGGGGGCTCGCTGCTTTGACCCTTCGCCCTATAGAGAACCGGACCCCCCCCCAAAAAAAAACAAGAAAAACATGGGTTGCGGTCGGTCTGATGGAAGCCGGAACCTCATTTTTTTGCGAACTAATGGGTTTTCCATTGAACCACGAAAAGTTAAACTTTTAGCAGGGGAGCAGAAAGCAACCGAGTACATTCACCGGTCGATTGAGGCATGGGGCTGTGCCTCTCTTGCAGCCGCCACAGCCCTTGCAGCGTGTTTGACGCACCTCGGCCGGGTCGGCGAGCTTAGGACCCGTAGAAAGCAGGGCCAGTTTTGAACTTGCTCATGGCCTAACTTTTCCTGGTTCCGGGAAGATGAGGTGATGAAGGTCAGTTGATTAGGAATGTTTTCATGGTTTGGAGGCTAGCTCCTTGTGGATTATTCATGGAAGTGTCTTTTGGTGGTAGTCAAAAACGGTCTGGGTACTCTTAATTTTATGTTGCGCTGCCTCAACAGCGGGGGAGGGCCCTTTTCAAGGGTTCCACGTTTGGACGCCTAACGTGAAAATCGTGGCTGGAATGTCCGCGATTGACCAAACAATTGACGATCAATCCTTGAACGAGGGGGTCACCAGCCGTTTGCGGGACATCGGAAGCAACAGGTGTCTCCAAGTGAGCCTTTCCCAGTATTCATAGGGCTTGATCCATCCCAACTGGTGCGAAATGGATTTTGTCCATCCACAGGTCATGGTCATGGCTCCCTCGAGAATCTAATTCCCAAATCCCTGACTCGAATTCCAATTTTTGCTAGGATCCAATCCTGCAATGTCCAAATCCTACGACCATTTGCCACCCTCCCATGGACAGCTTCTTCGCATGTCCCAAACCTTGTCCACCAGGCAGTCGGTTTGGGGGGGGGGCGGGCCGGGTGGCGGGTAGCGGGGGATTGCTTTTTCGGGCGACGCGAAAGCCCAGGTACAGCCTGCGAAGGAGGCAGAAGGTGCCAGACCTTCAAGGGCTGCGGCTGGGCGAAAAGAGAAGCGACTGCGCCGGGTTTCGGCGGGGCCAATTTTGAGGCTACACCTATAGTTGGGGGGTTGGATAGGTGTTTGAACCTCCGGTTCTTGTAGAGGGTAAATGGGGCCCCACCGCAGGAACTCCAAACCACCCATCCAAACCATGTTGGCAGGAATCCCGCTCGTTTTTCTTTTAATCAACGCCAAGAGGAAAATTAAGAGTAAAAAAACAGGCGCCTTTGTTGGCGTGTTGGTGGCTTGGTGCCATAGTTGCTTTTGCCCTGCAAAGCAACGTTGACATGTTTGAGCCGCCGACAAACCGAAGCACGGGGACTGCGGCATGACGCACACCAGCCCAAACATGCCAAGCACACAAATTATAGTGACCTCACACAGGTTTCAGTGTCTTTGGGGACCCTGTGGCGGCCCCAGCCTGTTTTTGTTGGGCCCATAAAACCCAAGAGGTTAAACAGGTTTGGGGTGGGAGAACCTAGTGTGTGTGTTAATTTGCTGAGGGTGCCCTTTTTTGAAGTCATGTAGGAAATTATGGTCTAAGATTGATCAACAACCAAACAAAGAGCTTCCGACAGATAGGCACCAGGCGATCGCGGGATTGGAATCCACCGAAAAGGAGAAGTAGCCAGAAATCGGAGCAGCAAGTTTGGCGGGTGTCAAACATTTGGCCCCTTTGTCAACTCTTGTTCCACCATGTCAAAGGTTTGGCCAGATTCCTTCCAGCGCTGATCATTTGGATGCTGAAATGTTGCCGCACGTACCCCTGGATCAGCATGAAGACATCGCATGGCACATGTCCGGCGAAGGCGATGCAATAGATGCGCGCGCTGTCTTTGGATGTCTTGTTGAACACGACAATCAGGCAAGAAAACAAACCAGAGACAGGCTGTTGATACTTCCCAAACACAAAATCAATCACTGGAGAGTTGAACAGCTAGCACCGTGTTTGAAAAGGTAGAAAATATATCCCATTTGATACTTTCCCAAACACAAAATCAATCACTGGAGAGTTGAACAGCTAGCACTGTGTTTGCAAAGGCAGAATATATATATATATATATCCCATGAAAGTCTTCAGTCCATATTTAATCGTCGCTCAGACGACACAAAACAGCTCATCCGGCTTCCTTGGTTTGCGCTCGCTGACCAAAAGAGACTCCCACATAAACAACAGCATGGATAGGGCCCCGTCTCTCTCACTTCCTTGTGTGCAAATATCTGCCATTCCATGGATTCCGAGCGTTGCTCATGCTTGTCCCCACCCCCGTACTGTATGGAGGAAGGGATGTATCCTGAACAAAGGGGTGCTTCTTTTTTCCCTCCAGTTGGGGGGGGGGGGGGCTTCATCGATCGTGGCTCATCTCGGAGCACTTTGCTTCAGGCTCGCGCTCTCCGCCGATGACGTTCTGAGCGTGGCGGACGCGCCCTTCAGACATTTTGCGGCATGGCCGAAGCAAAGGGCGAGAGATTGACGCCGAGTCAAAAAGCCCCGGCGGACTGTCGTGATAATTTTTGGTCCCTGTGGTGGGTGGCAATTGTGAAAGGGTGGCCCCAATTTTGTTGAACCTGCGGAACTTGTCCCTTTTGGTGAGGAATATATCGGGCACCGGGTCCCAAATCAGAATTCTGTCCTCTCTGAGCAACCCTCATATTTGGGAACTCATTAGGAAACCTGCCATTTTGGGGGACTCCCCATTTTATTTGGGTTGGCAAGTGCTGAGGTGAACCGCAGCCTTCAGGACTCTCCGCCAGTGGAGGCTGGTGCGGAACGGCTTTGGCTCAGAACGCTTGGAGTGACTTGTTTTGGGGGGATCAATTGAAAGGAAGTGAAACTGCAAGGCTTGGATTGATCTTTCCCAAAGGGAAGTATGATCATATGTATATATATATATTATATTGCTGAGGATACGATTGTTCGGCATTCTGAAAGGGGAAACCGAGGAGAAACCGCCCAGTTCGGGGGTTTTGGGAGATCCAAAGTAGAGCTTGACAGACATTGCTAGTCTTTGGTAGGCCTGAGAATGTCTCTGAGTGAAACTACTCGAGGCTTTCTGCACTGAGATAGATGCGTAATTAGTGGTACTCTCCCAACTAACGCGAACGCCCAAGAGCAAACCGGAATTCACAAGAATCTCAGGTTCTAGGATGGCCCCTTTGTTCGCTTTGGTTTGTTATGGTTTGTTAAAATTCATTTGGGCTTCCTTCTGTTGCTTTTGTCCATTTGCTTTGTTGGATTCGTTTTGTTTAGAACTCTTATTTTGGGGCTGTAACAACGACTTGCCATCTCTGCCTGGTCGAGTTGTCGCTCCGACCGACAGGACTACGATATCTCTGCCAGCGTGGGCGTTGCTGCGCCTTGCATCTATTTTCGTTCTCCCCACCCCAATGGAAGGGTAGTGCAGCAGTGCAACCCCAATAAAGGGAGGAGAGACCCTTCATCCTTCGCAGTGTTGTTCCCTTTCTGAGAAGGATGTATGCGGGGGCATCCTTCTCGCCTAGAAAGTTTCAGATAGCCCCTATGAACCTGGCCAAATTC